CTATAAGCATGCAGACTGGGACCTCTTGCGCTCACTGATCAAACTACCAGATTGGGATGAATTCTTCTCATGTAATAGTCTGACAGATGCCATAAACATATTATATTTGATTGTTAACTCTTGTCTAGACTCCTGTGCACCAATTAAGACTTACAGGATTAGTAAACATTACGAATTATATATACCAGCTAAATATCGTAATAAACTAAAACGCCTAAAGAAACGTTATTTTAAATCTAACGACTTCACGGCAGTCACACAAATAACAATAATTTTTAACCAAATTGGAGAGAAACATAGGTTAAAAGCCATCAATGAAGGGCTATTAGCACTACGTACTAGCTCAAAAGTGCAAAACCTTATCCACCTTTACAATAAACGTGCTAAATCAACTCAAAATGTTGATATACCATGCATCCTGCATAATAATAGTTTTATATATGATCCAAAAACTATAGCAGACCTTTTCAGTGGTAATTTTGTAAATGGCAAAGAATGCATAAATGGCTCTGTTTCTAGAGTTATATGTATGACTGGTAACTCAATTAAATCTATCTCCTTCACATGTCTGAAAATTAGTAAGGTTATAAATAAGCTCAAGATTTCGAAAGGTCACGGTGCAGACGGGATTTCATCATTTCTCTACAAATATGGTGGTCCAGATATTCCACTTCTTCTCCTTAAGCTGTTTACCCTCTCTATGGAATCAGGCTCTTATCCTGACCGTTGGAAAACAGCGTTTGCAGACGATCTTAAGGTGGTGTACTCATTTTCTCCACATGAGCTGAACAATATTCAAAATTGTATCAGCACGGAGTTTAACAAGGTAGCACAGTGGTGCTCGAAATGGCAACTGGAGCTCAATACAGCTAAATGTGGATGGTTATGCTTTTGTGATACATCACTCAACCTTAATCTTACCATAAATGGGGAAATGTTATCTAGGTTACACACAGTAGTAGATCTAGGACTTAGGTACTCTGACGACTTGTCGTTTACTGAACACATAATGAAACAAACGTCCAAGTCTCAACGCCTTATAGGTTTCATAACTCGAAACCTTCATAACAGCGAATCTCGTATTCTAATGTACAAAGTTTATGTTCGACCACTCCTTGAATACTGCGCGTTTCTCCTTAGAAGCACGCGCATAAAGGATAAATTAAGACTGGAATCAGTACAGAGACGATTTACATTTCGTACTCTTGGACCTGATAGTGTCTTGACATATAATTCGAGGTGTAGTAAACTAGGGATTGACCCTTTATGGAAGAGGAGACTCAAACTTAACCTTATCTTCTTTTTCAAAATACTTAACAAATTATCATTCACATCCAGCCAGGCGATTCAATATGCTATGGCCTCACATTACGACATTCGTAACTCCTTGTCTTTAGCGAATCAAACATATTCTAGATCTTGTCTCTATATGAATTACTTGACCTGTAAGTTTTCTAGGCTCTGGAATAATTTACCCCAAACTATCCGTATGTTAGACTCTCTCCCTTTGTTTGTTCGCTCAATTAATGCCTTTTGCTCCTCTGAAAATGCATTAAATGCTCTAGCGCCTGCAAGTGTATCTTACTCCACAAGTGAGATTATAGGAACTTCGAATGTTTAACCTCTTGCTATCATTGTTTTGGTGTTCCGTGCTCTTTGCTTTAATTTTACTTTCTCTAGTTGTAGATAATTAATAATAACTCGCTCTGGCACTGGTAATAACCTTACAGAACAATGTTGATCAATCATCAGGCTCTCCACTTAATAAAAAAAATGACAAGTTCCCTGGTGTTGTATTGGCTTGCCGTGCCATATGCCATATTTAAACTTTATCAATTACTAAACCAGCAAACATAAAACTTTCTTATATTTCATGTTTGTTCTCTACATTAAATGTTGATTTTCATAACAATCTGATCATGCCTGTAAACTGGTGTGAATTCTGTAAATATTATTTTCAGAATATTTATTATTATTATTATAAGGAAACCCGGAAGCTGTTGAAGCGTAGGAAACACTTCTGGGACTTATTCTTATCAACAAGTCAGGCATCATTTAATTGCGAATATAAAAAACGCGGAATATATGTAAAAAGACCATAGCTAAATCCCGCACGGCTTACGAACGACAGTTGGCATACGATAGCCGGACCTGTCCGAAGCGACTGTTTTCGTACGTTTAAAGGCGGACGAAACGTAGTGATAGTATCCCTCCGTTACTGTTAAACGAATCTGATCTAGCGAAAGCGGAGACATTTGCTAACTGTTTCACTGAAGTCTACTCTACGTGTTGTGTTACAACTACTTGTCCCGTTGACAATGAGATACCAGCCATAGGAACTTTACACGTGACAGAGGATATAGTTCTTCCTTTGATAACTAACCTAAAACCTTGTAAGATACCGGGCCCTGATGGGTTACACCCACGTTTGCTGTCATCGCTTTTGGACATTATCTCAAGACCGCTCACGATGTTCCTTAACATGTCCCTTTCACAGGCTCAACTACCTAGAGACTGGAAAGACGCCATAGTTAGTCCTATATTTAAGGATGGTCAGAGACGGATCGTATCTAACTACCGGCCTGTTAGCCTGACCAGTATAGTAGTTAAGTTACTTGAAAAATTAATTCGAGCTAAGCTACTGAGCCACATAGATTCGTACAATCTGTTAACTCCCAAGCAACATGGGTTTCGTAACAAGCATTCATGCTTGACTAACTTACTCATTGCGAGAGAGGATTGGACAGCTGCCCTAGACAACGGCCAGTCTATCGACGTGATATTCATAGATTTTAGCAAAGCGTTTGATAAGGTTTCACACTTAGGTCTTATGCAAAAGCTCTCGAGCTTTGGTATAACAGGTGCTATACAGGAATGGATAGGAAGCTTCTTATGTGACCGCAGACAGAGAGTGAGAGTCAATGGAACTCTATCCGAATGGAAACCGGTCAAAAGTGGTGTACCCCAAGGCACCATCTTAGGCCCTTTACTTTTCCTTCTGTATATTTATGAACTACATTTATTACTAAAGTCGTCGACGTTATTGTTTGCGGACGATGTTAAAATCTGGAGAACAATAAGAAATGAGACTGATCGTTGTTATCTGCAAGCAGATTCAGACGAATTAGTTAGGTGGGCTCATGATTAAGGCCTGGAAGTTAATTCCAGGAAGAGCGTGTTCATCCACATCGGGCACGATGTTAGTTACCACTATACCATTAATGGTACATCTCTGCCACGCGTTCATGCGCATAAAGACTTAGGAGTAATTATAAGTCACGACTTAAAAACTACTACGCACTGCAATGCGGTTGCTTCCAAAGGCTATCGAGCGCTATGGTCGCTTCGCAGAGCATTTAAATGCTTTGACGAGGATATGTTTCGAATTTTATATCCCACCTACGTAAGGCCACACTTAGAATACTGTATCCAAGCAGCTAGCCCTTGTCTGATAAAGGATACTAAATCGCTTGAGCGTGTCCAGCGTGTAGGGACAAAATTAGTAAAGGGTCTTTCCGAACTCCCTTACCATGAGCGTTTAAAACGTCTAAATCTTTTCCCCTTATCTTATCGTAGGACGCGAGGTGACCTTATACTGGCATTTCGTATTTTTAATTATGATCTGGGTGTTAATATGTCTTACCTTTTTGCTCCCTCCAGCACTAATAATCTCCGGGGTCATAGCAAGAAGGTTCTGAAACCGCGATCTAATAAACTAAAGGTGGGGTCCAATTTTTCTCATCGAGTGGTCAATGACTGGAACGCTTTACCAGAACAAGTGGTATCAGCACTATCAGTGAACATTTTCAAAAAGAAGCTGGACCTTCACTGGAAGGAAATCTGTCAGGATTAACACAGGTTCATCAACCTACTATCCTTATTACTGAAGACGACAGATGCTAAGCTTACCCTCCACAAAATATGTGTACGACCTTCCTTAGAATACTGCTCTTTTATCTTCTCTAATATGAATACCACTGACAAAATAAAAGTAGAAGATGTTCAAAGACGCTTTACACGCCAACTGTTAGGAAGTGACACCACTCTTGATTACACAAGTAGATGTAAGCGCCTCTCTAGAACCTTTATGGCACCGTAGGTTAAGGAACAATCTGATATTTCTCTACAAAGCAATAAATGGACTGTTATTCCTAACCTCCTGTCCAACTATGATCAATGACCCAGCCTATAGACTAAGAAACAATGCATATACACTATTTACCGAAAAACACCAAAAACAAACGCGTTGTAAGTTTTTTACAGTTCGGTATAGTTTATTGTGGAACAGGTTGCCAATACATATCCGTAACTGTGACACCTTTACCAAATTTAAAAGGCTAATAACCCTGTTACTAAACTCTAAAGAACTTCACCAACTATTCCTTGAAATCCAGCCTACCAATGAGGCACTTTATTATGGACCGCCCAATATCTAGACGGAACAAGAATATAACGAACTCCATTGTCGTTAGTATGAATATAGCAAAACTAAAGAAAACATGCTTTACCCTTCCCCACTATTTATTGATTATTAACCATGGCCTTCTGCTTCTAACCCTCATTTTCAGTTTCCGAATCTCTCTAATGGATAAATCCAAATTATTCTTCCTATGTCATGTCCTTTTATTTTTCTTATTACAAGTAGACTAATAACTCACTAATCTTATGGATGCTGACCAACTAAGGCCGATCAAAAGAAGCTCATATGTCCTAAATTCTTGTGAGTTGTTCAATGTTTTATTTTTCTTACCCTGAAAATTTTACAATATTTACTATCATATCCTCTGGTTTGCTATTAGCCCTTACCATCTCTTAACCACATATAATCTGACTTGTCTCTTCCAACCTTTACCATTAGTTATCTTCATAGTAGTACGATATATTAAATGAATATGTGGAGATATGACCGACAAGCTTATTTTGTAAATAGTTTTTAATATTATTTGCATTTGTTTTGTCAATTTTTCACTGTATGTACATTCATCATTAAATGACTGTACATGTTGTTTTAGTCAATGACCTTGAAGACACTTTCCGTTGTGATTCCAACATAGCGTGATATCTTCTTTCTGGCTACCAAATACATTAATACTCACTCATCCCTCGTTCTGTTTTCACTCGAGATTGAGTTAACTTAGTTCTAAAACAAATATTATTTACATTCATAGACTGAGAAAGTGAATACATTATATCTTACTGTGGATTACAATGCTGGGGAGATCATCGATACGTTTGGAATTACTAAGCATCTATAATTGTGGATTTATTGTACCAGATCAAAGTCGAACACGCATCATTTCGGGTGAACTTAAGTAAAGTCCCATTATTTATTGTAATTGTAATATTTAACTTGTATATATTAATATTACTATTAGTTATTAATTTTGTTGATATCTTTTGCGTTTATATATTGTCTGGTCCGCCACAATTATTTGGTGAGGCTCGATTATTTTTTATAGACATTTACAGTATATATCTACATAATTTACTATTATTATCAATTGGCACGACACCAGTTTTTTGTTTTTTTGACATTATGGACTCCCCTAAGAAACTTATCGATATTAATAACCCACCAACCAACTCCTTTTATTCATCACAGCCAGAAGATAATGTTTTAAATTCAATTAACACTATTTCTGAACTAAGATTACCGACATACGGTGTTAATAATCCCAGGATCTGGTTTGCACAGGTTGAGGCATTATTTTTGGCGAGGGGCATACGTTCACAAGCGACTAAATATGCCCATATCGTCGGTGCACTACCTATAGATGTAGCAACGGAAGTCAGTGACCTGATAGATAACGTACCAGAAACAGACCCCTATGACAAAATAAAAGCCGCAGTGATCCACCGTACTTCGCAGTCTGATGAAAAACGCTTACAGCAACTACTCACTGCATGCCAGTTAGGGGACAAAAGACCTTCTGTGATGTTTAAATAAATCAGTGACTTCTTAGTATTGATAACTGTTGTAATTTTGAATTCCAAATACAATACATTCGTTCGAGTTCATCTGATACTTCTTGATTAAATTGCGTTATTCCTGGGATTACTAGTTCATACTACAAATCAAATACATCTAATTATCATATTGGCGTCGCGACTGAGCCTGTGATGGAATGGTTAAATATAAATTCAGATTTTAATGCTTTTGAGGAGTACATGGAAAGGTTCGAAATCTGGGCCATGACCAAGGAATACGGTGAAAATTTTAATACTGTGGCCCATTTCCTTACATTCATTGGAAAAGAAGCATACAGCCTTATAAAGACTTTGGCACTTCCAGACAAACCAATTTCACTCCCCTATGCAACTCTCAAGCAACTTCTGTTGGATCATGTAAAGAATACAAATTCCGAATGCGGTAAGAAAGGAAAATCCGATAAAATGACTCGTCAGAACATCAGGAATTCCACTTATTCAAACAGTCGTCGTAGTTCGATGCGTAATCAAATTTATTCAGATAATACTTCATTGAGTTGTGAAACAGTCCATGATGATGAGCACAAGTTTAGTAAATGCATGTTCTGCGGCAAGTTTCACCCATGTAATTCATGTATATTTCGTAATTCTAAATGCTTTAAATGTGGTATAACTGGACATATTCAGTCAGTTTGTAATACCATGGTTCATTTCGCTGAAAGTAATGCTAAGATGGATGCTTCTAATGATCAGTTATCTTTATCTAGAAGAGGTATAACGTTATATAACAGTCCAGAGTTGAATGAAACCCAGAGTCATTGGGAGGCGAAAATTCTCAACCAATCAACTTATCAGATTTCTCATGTTATTGTGCCAGATATGGTTTGTCGTAATAATTCACATACTTCTGATGTAATTTCTTACAACTCTGAGAATAGAATGTTAAATGAGTCAAATCATGATCAAAAACCAAATTCAGTCATGGTAGATGTTGAATTCCCTGATGATCCATTACCTAATGAAACTCTTAATCAATTTGAGGAAAATATTTCAGAAGAATCGAATTCTGATATCATATCAAGTGTCAGTGGTCCTCATAATGAATTTATCTCTAATGATATTCCTCATGAATGTGAAAAATATGTTTCTTATGAGTTGAATTCTAGTCATATTTCTGATGTTATTGTGTCATATGTTGGATACTCTCACGAACAATGCATGTTGAATAGAATCCCTAGTCAGGGGTATAATGATACAGAGGGTATAGCAAAATTTTCCGAAGCAACCAGAGAACCAGTTTGCCCAGAAGTGAAGTTTGCACAGACAGAGAATCCAAATCAAGTCCAAGATTATCCTAATGAATATGAGGCAGATGAATGTTTTCTATCCGATTGTTTCGCAGATATCAATGTATATCCATCTGTGTATTCTAATATGAATAACAAAAAGAATATGTATCATGATTTTTATTCAAGTCAAAGTCACATGATGGAATACCTCAAATTATATATCAGTGTTTATTCCCAAATACTCACATACAGTAGTCGGTGCGTAAGATTTGAGATAATGCAAATTGGGAACGTCATATTGGCTAAAACATTGCGAATCAAGGACCCAACATTATTTCGTGGGGGAGGATATTGTTGGAAAGTCCATGATGCAAATTCTAAATATCAATGGTTTCACTACACAACCGACATGCTGATTGTATACAATTCTAGAACCCAGGTGAGTCTGTTCCAATTTCCGTTGTTAATTCTAATACTAATGAGTGCATTCTAGATAATACAGAGTGTACATTCAATACACCATCGGACAGATGTAGGATGAACTTAAGAAGAAGACAAACAATCGATTACAGACACACTTCAATTCGAGCTGTGGCGGATGTGATGTTTAAATAAATCAATGACTTCTTAGTATTGATGACTGTTGTAATTTTGAATTCCAAATACAATACATTCGTTCGAGTTCATCTGATACTTCTTGATTAAATTGCGTTATTCCTGGGATTACTAGTTCATACTACAATTCAAATACTTCTAATTATCATACCTTCACAGTTGCTTAGACATATGAGACAACTAGCAGGCCCATACAAGTTAGACGAAGCATTACTTAAGCATATGTGGTTACAAAGGTTACCATATAACGTCAGACAAATCCTCAGCATATCAGGAGCCTCTGTCAGTCTTGATGATTTAGCAGACATGGCCGATAAGATGATAGAAATATATCCTGATAGTCACGGCGTTAGCGCGATACAATCCTCAAATACAGAACACATGAGCGACGCACTCAACATCCAACAACAAATAACACTGTTAACACAGCAGCTAGCATCACAGCAGGCGACTGTTTCCACCATCCATTCTCGACCTCCCAGATCTACGTCCAGAAGGAGATCAGTATCCAGACATCGTCTTAGGTCACCTAAGCGGGCAGCCGGAATTTGTTGGTATCATTCGAATTATGGTGAGAAAGCACGTTGTTGCACAAAACCGTGCAACTTTAACTTTAACCCCATGCCCAACCCTCCTCCTTTACCCGGGCTTGGGACCGGCAGTAACCCCCAGAGAAGCTACAGGCGGAGTTTTCTAAAGTAAAGGGAGACAGTCATTTGTGTCGGAATACTGTTTTCAGCACTTTATTTTACAATTACACAATTCCATACTTCCTTCTGAACTACTTTCATTTATACAGTTCCTTATCCACTCGTACCTTAAGGTACGAGTGGATACCTTAATTAAGGTATGAGTGTTAAAGAAAAATTCATGCATGAATATTGTGTGCTCTGCTTTTCGTCCTTCCTTTTTCTTACACCTTTTTTAGACTCCCAAACAACCAATAAAGGGGAAATAAAGCGGAAAATGCATTGGAAAATAAGTCGTAAATAAAGGGGAAATGCGCCAAAATGTCTGCTTTTTCGCCTGTCCGGGGGAAATAAAGCGGAATTTCCCCTTCCTGTCGCTCCGTTTTTCAAATGTCGCTAAATCTCCGATTTTTCCCCTAAATATCCGACGAATTTCCGATTTTTCTCCTAAATATCCGACGACTTGCCGGTTATTAGCCTAAATATCCGCTGCATTGACTACTTTTCCACTACATACACACTAATGCATTTACCGCAACCGCTTCCTGTGTTCGCTTTCATTCCCACAACACAGCACACAAATAATGTAAAGTACGTAAAATATGGTATAATTTCCAAATTTTTATTGAAAACAAAAAGTTCTTCAATGTACAAAGTTATGAGCAGTTGGCAGATGGTAGAGAATCAATGCTCCTTATGTAATTGTCATTGTCACGGACCAGGCATTTCACGTATTCATTCTTTCCACCAGGCCTGTTGGACTATGGAGAGTCAAACAATTCTTGTGAATTCTATAATGTGATGAAGAAAAACGTTACTAAATCTAGGAAACTTGTTTTGCACAACAAGGTACTTGAAGCTGAACTTACGGTAATATTCTTGAACACGGAAGACTGTACCTATAGATAATGCAAAAACAGTGATCACTTTAAAGCCGTACATACGGGTTCTTTGTTCCGTCGATGACGCTTCTGGACTTTGTCTCTCATGTCGTGGAAATAACTTTGCGTAGCCATGTCATATAGTTTCGCAAGGTCTTTCTCGTTGACAGATGACGACAGGAATCGATTAGTCAGTGCACCTGAAGTTTAAAAACCTTATTTATCTTACTTCGTACGCAGCCGTAAAACCTGCACTTCTGAATCGCTCGTTTTGATGAAGCACCCAGTAACGTGAAATTAATGGCGATTTCAGGTTTCATGATGTAGGACAGAAGCTGTCGCATGGAGCTTTAGGATCATCATCCATTACACGTGTCAACATGGCCATCTGTAATAGGAATGAAGGATAAAAATCATGTTGTGTGCTTACAAATCTGTCCCTCACGTCCAAAGTTCCCAGTTCCTATTCAGATGACAAAGGGAACTGTTGGCTGGATAGTCCACAGTCGAATTGACGCGGATCTTTGCGGTCAGTGGACCTTGAGAGCAGCAGCTTCATATTTGTATTCATTTCACTCAAGCCTGCTGACATTTTAAGCTGCAAAGTATACATTCTTTTGAATCTGCAAAATAGAAGTAGATCGTAAGGATGACTTACTGAGCAATTAGATTTTTATCCTCGGACGTGGAGGGCGAGGTGTCTAATAGTGTCGAACTGCTTAATAGACATGTCCAAATGAAGGATACTTACTTGGCAATGGGAGAGACAACCTTCTCAAACATCCGAAGTTTTGGATATTGGACGCGGCTATTCCCAGCCTGCATCTCTGCAACATCCATGTCCGCGGAATTGTAAAGAAAACTTTCTTTACGTTTTAATGCACTTCTACGAAATGTAAGTATGTAATACGTGGAATCAGCAGTACAGATCTGAAAAACAGCACAGCACACAATGTTAAACGAGGACTTCACACCAAGAGAGAACACAGTGAGAATCACAAGCCTCTTTATTTCAAAATCAAAAAGCGCGGTGTGGTGTGTACAGCGGGAAGAGTCAGTTTACAAAGTAGTCTTATGAGTCATCCTGTAAGCTTAATGTACATATGGCTTGCTCTTCTTCCTCTAAAGAGTTTACGTTTGGTCGCCCTGCAATAGAAAGAAAATAGAATGCATTAGTATATCATACATAGCAATTTCAACTCCGTTACACCGCCCCCTCTCTTAAATAGGCACTGTCCTCAGTGCCTGGTCTCGGACATGGATATGCTGTCCCCCCTTCTGATGGTACCTCATAAAACGTAGTGGCAGGCGTTGGATTGGCGAACTGAGCATCCGATGAAACTGTCATCCTATCTGGTTTTATTTGGTTATGGCAATGGGAGAGACAACCTTCTCAAACATCCGGTACATGCTCTTGTTCTTCGCAAGGCAGCAGGGGCGTCTGTATCTCCACTGGTAGGCGTAATTCATGCCCGAATAATAAAATAGCGGGTGAAAACCCGGTGGAGCCATGTACCGATGTACGATATGCTAGAAGACACTGAGGAAGGACATCATCCCATAACTCCTGCGACGATCTGTTCACAAACGCCTGCAATATGGCTTTAATACTTCTGTTTGTTCTTTCTACCAGCCCGTTACCTTCTGGGTGATACGCAGTGGTTCGTGTCTTCCTGATTCCCAAAAGCTGGCATATCTCGGCGATGAGGTGACTTTCAAAGGCTGGACCTTGATCAGAATGAAGTGAGAAGGGAGCGCCATAGCGGGAAACCCAATAATCGATGAAAGCTCGGGCAACTGTAAGAGCGTCTTGCTGGGGAAGGGGTACTGCTTCGCACCATTTAGTAAAGTAGTCTACCATAACCAGTATATAGCGATTCCCTTTCTTTGTTGTTGTTAATGGTCCCATAATATCTATGCCGACCCGCTGATGTGGTCCTGTGGTCACCATCGGAGTTAACGGTGCGCGAGATGTCTGTCGAGGCGATTTGAAACGGCAGCACGTGTTACAATTTTTGCAAATTTGCACTACATCTTCATGCATGGATGGCCACCAAAAACGCTGGCGGATCGCGTATTCTGTCCTTCGTTCTCCTGCATGGCCTAGTTCGCAGTGCACCTGCTCAACAATGCTCTCGACTTTTATCCGTGGTACTACCAAAAGAGGTTGTCTCGCTTCGTTAATTAAGAACAACGTGTCACCATATAATTTTAGATTACTCCATTTAGTGTAAATACGGCGAGTTGCTAATGATTGATCCTTTAACTCTTTCATGGATGGTTTATTGTTTCCCTGCAACTGTCTTTGATATATAATCCGCATGTCTGGTCTGCTGCTTGCAGCGAAGGCCAATCGATCTCTACGGCTGTGCTAAGAACTGCATTAACAGTACCTGCGGTTTGAGGTATGCGGGAAAGAGCGTCTGCGTTTGTATGTCGGCTTCCAGGTCGGTACTCGCATGTGAAATCGAACTCCTGTAGTCGTTCTTGCCAGCGTGCCACTTGCCCTTCTGGTTCGCGGAAGGAGCGGAGCCATTGTAATGCACGGCGATCTTTGCGTACACGGAAAGGTTTACCTAGTAAATAATGGCGGAAATGTTGTAAGAATTTTACTCATGCTAACATCTCTCGACGCGTTGTCGAATATCTTGTTTCGCTCTTATCCAGTCGACGGCTAGCGTACGCAATGACTCTTTCTTGCCCATCTGGGGCCACTTGTGATAGAACTGCTCCAATAGCGGAGGAATTGGCATCCGTATCAAGTGCAAATTCTCCCCCGCTTGCTGAGGTATCCGGAACGGCTAATATGGGTGGAGAGCTTAGTCGTGTCTTCAAAGCATCGAACGCCTGTTGACACTGTAGTCCATAAAAATTTTCGTCCTTTGTGCGTCAAACGGTGTAAGGGTGCTGCTAACGATGCAAAGTCACGGACAAAGCGTCTGTAGTAAGAGGCTAGGCCAAGAAAGCTACGGACATCTTCAGGTGATTTGGGCTGTGGCCAATTAACAATGACACGTGTCTTTTCTTTATCGGTGCCTACTCCATCTGCAGTGATACGATGTCCTAAGAAAACTACTTCTTTCTGCAGCAGGCGACATTTGGACGGTTTTACTTTTAGGTTGTGTTGTTGAAGGCGATGGAGAACTGCTTTCAGATTAGCATTATGTTGCTCGGGTGTGCTACCATACACAATAATGTCATCGAGATAAATCAAACATTTATGAGGTACCATATCTCGTAAAACTGTTTGCATTAATCTTTGGAAGGTAGCTGGGGCATTTGTTACACCGAAAAGCATTACTTGGAATTCGTATAAACCATTTGGCACTACAAATGCGGTTTTCTTTCTATCTTGTGGTCTGACTTCCACTTGCCAGTACCCTGATGCTAGGTCTAACGTTGAAAACCAACATGCGCCACTCAAAGCGTCTAATATAGCATCGATTCTCGGAAGAGGAAAAGAGTCACGCTTAGTTATAGCGTTAAGGCGTCGATAGTCTATGCAGAGACGCAGAGAGGAATCTTTCTTTTTAACCAGGACGATAGGTGATGCCCAGGGGGATGATGACGGTACTATAATATTCTTGTCAAGCATATCCTTTATCATCGTATCCAGTTGTGGTTGATAGTGTACTGGCACTCTACGAGGCGGTTGCCTAAGTGGCCTGTGGTCCCCCGTGCAAATGGTGTGTTGCACCGTACTCGTGCGATTGCCGGAAATACTCTCTTCGAATACCGAACTAAACTGTTGAAGCGCGGCAATCGTTGCATGTAGATCTTTCTCTTTTAGTATTCGGTTGCCGTTTACTTGCCGCACCAGGTCTGAGATTCCCACATATGACACAGCTTTAAATGACGTGTCAGTATGGTGCAGGCGTATTTTAGTCTCTCCAAATTTTGCTTCCAAGCTGTCCATGAATATACCAGCTTTATGTTCTAACATGAAATCGACTCCGAGTATCATATCCCAAGTCAATGTCGGACAAACTAAAAATCCATGACGGAACGGATGTCTATCTATCGTTAGGTCCAACCATACCTTAGAGTTCACTTTCAATGGGTTTCCGCTCGCTGTGAGTAATGTGGATGGGTATCGCGTCTGTTGGACTTTATGGTTAAGCCTTCCTAAAAGCTCGCTCTTAATTAGGGATACTGACGCTCCGGTGTCTAATAAAACTTCGATATCGATACCCTGTACTCTAGCCTTAATCGTGATGGGACGCACATGGTTAGCATAAGATAAATGGAAAATTTACGGCTTACTTTTGTTACCAAAACGATTAGGACCACATTTCTTTGCATTTTTGCCAAACCTTCGACAGTACGGGCATTCGGATTGACGACCATGATAACTATTCGTTGATCTCCACTTCTTCTCAGCGGGACTGAAATGTCTTCGACTGCTGCTCCAGTGGGAAGACTGGGTTACGTCGGGTATGTGTTGAGGGTTCAGTGGGCGACTCGCTTTTGTGGGTTGCATTGCTGCCATCGCGGTTGGCTGGTGCATGTCCATTGGGCTTTTTAGCTGCTAGGCTGCCATGAACCGGAATGTAGTTTTTTTTAAGGAATTTATATCTGTTGGAGGGTTCAGTAGGAAGTGTTCCTTTAAGGAACTGGATAGTAACCCTTCCACGAACCGAGACTTGATCAATTCATCTCTTCCAGTGGCATCAAGACAAGGGAACGCTTGCACAGCCATCTTTTGCAAAGAATTAAAATAATCCATTGGATTCTCGCCGGGTGTTTGATGTCGTGACAAAAATCGGATGGCTGCTTGTTGGGGATCCACCTGCGTCGAAAAACAACCGTCGAGAATCTTCCAGTTCTGAGCGAGAGTATTGTCCGCCGCAAACCCGTTGACCATAGCTCTCTTGGTAGCTTCGTCTCTGAGGTAGGACACCAGATAATCGAATTGTTCCGAAGCTGGAACTTTACGAAGATATGCTGTGACTTTGAACTTCCACACTGTATAGTCTGACGAGTTTTCCAGGAGTGGCGGTTGACGGGGAGCTGAGCCAGTAGTTGGCTTGACTGGAATCACCGGCGGTTCGTCCAGGTTTTCATCGCGTTTTTTAGTGAACACCTCCATCACCAGTTGTAACACGTGGAATCAGCAGTTAGAGAACAGCAGTACAGATCTGAAAAACAGCACAGCACACAATGTTAAACGAGGACTTCACACCAAGAGAGAACACAGTGAGAATCACGAGCCTCTTTATTTCAAAATCAAAAAGCGCGGTGTGGTGTGTACAGCGGGAAGAGTCAGTTTACAAAGTAGTCTTATGAGTCATCCTGTAAGCTTAATGTACATATGGCTTGCTCTTCTTCCTCTAAAGAGTTTACGTTTGGTCGCCCTGCAATAGAAAGAAAATAGAATGCATTAGTATATCATACATAGCAATTTCAACTCCGTTACAAGTAAGATTGTTGAATTGACCTTATTTGTTTATCTGTGTTTATGGGCAACGCAGTTTCGTCGGGCGAAGAGTTCTCATTATTAGCATAGCACACTTGCAACACTACCAACAATTCATTGGCTGATTTGAGACTTTCTACAAGAAGCGATAATTTGCATGTCTGTAACTAACCGCATTTGTGAACAATACTGCACTTGAACATAGACCAATTTTCTTCGGGAAGGTCATTGTTCAATGTTCTCCCTGGGATACAGACCGTTTTTCTCCAATCACCCACAGTTCCGCTGCAATCGCGAACTTACTTTTGCTTTGTGTCTTAACGATTACGTACTTATTGATTGGAGACTAAATATAACATAACAGGAAATTTAAGAAAATACAATTACATAACAGTGTGCAACAAAGGGACAATAACCAAATGATTAACACAATTAATGGACATACATTTACAGTCAACATCACGAATGGAAACCCAATTGTAAGCACTGCTAACTACGGAGCATTTAAATATTCCTATATCAGTTGAAGGAAATGGATCAGTAAAATAATTTTGTGGGTTAGTAAATTGCCTGAATTTTAATAGTCCACTATCCTGAATATCAGTAATCAATCCCGGCTTTCCGTTTACTACTACAACGTTATCAGGCTGAAATGAATTTATTTGGCTATTCATAAACATCATTACTTGCCTGCGTGAGTCAGCCTTACCTATCACTGGGTTATCATTGGTCGAAATGTCAACCTGTAGCCTATCGCAGAAAGACATTTGTTCCGCATAACGCTGAGCTGCTTGCTTAGCCACGGAATACCCACTGTGTACGGATTTCTTAATTTGTCTCATATAAGACTCGAATGGAAATGCTGAGTAGCTATCTAGCGGTCCATGTGCTAGAACATCGTCAGGAAGATGCTGTAGCGAATGCACATTATAAACTAAGTTCTCACATCCGTAACACCATTCATATTCTCTTAAAAAATTCCTTAAATCCATCCTGACAGATTCTGTAACCCTATTATAAAACTGAGGATGTGCAAGCAAGAACATAGACAAAGCAAGAAATTTAAAATTTATATACAAAGGTTCAGGCAGAATATTTTGAAGAATAACCGGGCTTAAGTATAGAAGAAACAACCTACACTCTGACGCTTTCCATACGGATACGTAGTCTAGTGTTCGACATTTACGCTGAAAGTCAGAGGGAGTACTTTCTACACACCGAGATATCAACTTATTTATGGTCCTAATTACACATGAGTTCATGTTCTTTAGCCTCTTGTGTCCTAATTCTATCCAGAGAGTCAAAAGTTTGTTTGTGACACCTAAGTAAACCATGTGCATGGGATCTAAGGGAAAAGTTGATATCATGTCTATTGGTAGACTTTCGAATAAAGAATGTCCTTTATGGTGAATATATTGTGTCTGATTACTGAAACTGTCGTCAGTTCTTAACGTATATTCACCGTTTGGGAAAGTCATCTTTCCATCAAGTCGTCTACCATTAACAACGCACCGGTCACAACCTGCCTTTCGTTGTGATTAACAGTGTACCTAACATCAGAACGAGCCGGTGCATCACATATTACTGCAGTTAACTTAATAGCTATGTATTAATTGAACCTTACACCTAGTAGACACGTTTCAGCCATTTCTTTTATTTCAGAAATAGTGTCGGCAGAAATTTCGTTGAATCGTGCCGGCTTAGTATTCCCTCCGTAGATCCCTATCATGAAAACATCACTAAGTCTAGGGGCAAAGATCCTTCCTAATATAGGCCACAAATGTTGACTGGAGCTCCTTGACATAGAAAGCCCATCTACATTAATATACAATTGCAGAGTGTCGAAATCACAAGTACACAACCAACGTTCAACATGAGCAATTCAGTCTTCAGTAATAAGGATAGGAGGTCTAGTGACCTATTTTAATCCTTGCAGTTTGTTACACTGTGGAGGTCCAATCTCGTCTTGAATATATCAACAGAAGGTGCTGATATTACGTGTTCTGGTAGAGAATTCCAGTAATTCACTACTCGGTGCGAGAAACGAAACTCCAGACGTAGACGATTTGACCTCGGTTTTTGAACTTTCTTTAAATGTCCTCTCAAATGATCAGCCCTAGACGGGAGGAAAAGATAGGACATGTTAGTACCAAGGTCATCGTTCAGGATACGATATGCCAATATTAGATCACCCCGTACTCGCCGGTAAGATAACGGAAATAAGTTGAGGTGTCTCAGTCTGTCTTCATAAGATAGGCTAGATAAGCCTTTTACCATTTTTGTCCCGCGGCGTTGGACTCGTTCCAACATATCCGCCTCATATTTGAAACAAGGACTCGCTGCTTGAATCCCATATTCCAAATGTGGTCGTACGAAAGTTGGGTATAATAATCTAATCATTTCCCCATCCAGATACCGGAAAGATCTACGAAAAGAACATAATACCCTATAGCCTTTTGCAGCAGCAGCCTTACAGTGACTGGTTGTTTTGAGATCATTACTTAGTATGACTCCTAAATCTTTATAGTGTCTTACTTTGGGCAACACTAGTCCACATATTGTGTAGTGATACGAATCATCGTAGTTATTTAATTGCATCACAACACTTTTATTAGGGTTTACTTCTAGTGACCACCCATTCATCCATGCAACTAATGAGTTAAGATCTTCCTGTAAAACTATTCTGTCTGACATACTATATATGGGTCTCCAAATCTTAATGTCATCGGTGAATAGTAGGACGGATGACTTAGCTATAGCTGGTAATTCATTTATATAAAGTAAAAAGAGAAAAGGACCTAAAATCGTGCCTTGGGGGACGCCACTTTTTACTGGTTCCCACGATGAGAGAGCCCAATTTACTCTTACCCGTTGTCTCCTTTCATGAAGAAAGTCACTTATCCAGTCTATGACTGCATAATGAATTCGAAAACTTTCTAGTTTTAATTTAAGACCACAATGGGAAACCTTATCAAATGCTTTACTTAGATCTATGAAAATGACATCTACAGGAATATTGCGATCTTTTGCCTCAGCCCAATCTTCTTTTGCAATGAGAAGATTTGTCAAACATGATAGACCTTTTCGAAAACCATGTTGTTCCTTTGACAAAAGATCATGTCTTTCCACGTAGTTTATAACAGCCATCCTAATAATTTTTTACATTAGTTTTACAACTGCACTAGTTAAGCTAACGGGTCGATAGTTACTAACTAAATCCCTACTCCCAGCCTTATACACCGGACTGATTATTGCGTCTTTCCAGACTGCTGTAGGGACATATCAAACAGTATCGCTAAAGGTTCAGCAATAACATTTGAGAGGGTTTTCATAATCCGAGGATGAATATCATTAGGACCACTAGACTTATCAGGTTTGAGATGCTGAAGTAGGCTTAAAACAGTTTCTTTCTTAATAACTACAGGGTCCATCAACAAGTCGCCACAATCACAATGAATAGGTGATCGTTCCTCATTATTGGTAGAAAAAACTTTACTGAAATATTCCGAAAAAGCTTCCGCTTTTTCGGTATCATTTCTTGCCAAACTTAACGGATTTTCTTGTATCAAAAGTGATGGTATCCCATTACTTCTCTGAGTTCGCCTCTTTATATACGAGAATAACCGTTTTGGACTATGTTTGCAATCCCTAACCAATTGTTTTTCGTATGACCGTCTAATCCTACTAATTAACGCTTTACAAGTATTTCTAATATTACAATAACTGGATCTGTACTGTTCTAAGCCAGTAGAGATGAACATATTCCAGTGTTTTTTCCTACGCCTAAGAAGTTTCTTAACTTCTTTATTTATCCACGGTGGACTATTGTTCGGTCTACGTGGCACCAAGTATGGTATGAACGGGGACGTGACTGCACTAAACTTGCCTTTAAATACAGACCACGCCTCATCAACTGATGAGCTAGTATCTACTGACCAATCTATCTTAGTAGCATACTCCTGAATGGCAGGTATGTTAGTTCTCCATATGTTTGGGCGAGGCTTAATCTGATCGTATATCATATCGCCAGCTGTAAACGTGAATGATAAAACAGCGTGATCGCTATTTACTAACGGGGGAAGAATATTTAGGTTGGCAATATCCTCAGTATCATGGGTAATTACCAAGTCCAACAGAGAACCTTGGTTTACACCAAAACGTGTAGGTTTGGATACATGCTGTACTAATGCATGTTCCATTACTGTTTAAAAGAGCCTGCTATCAAATGAGTTTATAGAGCATTTTGTGGTCATCTCAGTCCAACTAATGTCAGGTGCATTAAAGTCTCCTAATATCAAGCATCTGTTAAGTGCACTCCATAGCCGAATGTGCTCTAAAATAAAGTCATCAGCTAAGCAGATTGGGCAGCGATAGATGACACCGAGTGCAAATGTACAACATCCGACAGTGAGTTCACAGCTAATGACTTCACTAGTTCCACTATCATGGGATTCGCAGACGGAGGAGCGGATATTTATACTATTGGCTATGTATAGAAGGACGCCACCTCCTTTCCTGCATCTATGTCTATCACTTCTTAAACAATGATATCCGGATAATTCCGGGGTGATACCGAAGTCATGGACTAACCAAGTTTCCGTCACAGCTACAATGAGTGGCCTTAATTTGTCCACTAATGTTCCTAGCTCGTAGAATTTATGTTTTAGACTACG